GAGAGAGAAGGCAAATAAAGGGTTAACATACTGAAGCCCCGCCGTTGCCACTGGTTACCACCATGGCTAATGACCGTCGTCCTCTGCGTTCACCCGTGCGTGTCACATGACCAGATGAGCGTAATTTTATTGGCTGGGCGTTGGATCGACTTCGGCCAGAATCGATTGTTTATGTCTAAGTCCCCGGATGTGAAAAGTGAATTTTTCACAGCGAATTTTGAACCTGTTGAAATTGACCTGTTGAATTTGAGCACTGTCGAATTTTCATGGCTTCGAATATTTACACCTGAAATTTTGACTTATTGAAATTTAGATGGGCTAAATTCAGACAAAATAATTAACATACACAATTTCAATGGCAACAGAATTCAAAGTTAGAAATTCAACAGCTTTTAAAATTCAAAATCGGATGAGCCTGATTTGCTTCCATAATTTCTTGCTTATTCTAGAACCTACAAGTTTAGTAATAATAATAGCAATCTGAATAAAGACCAGTTTTTCAGGAAAAAATGATGTAGCAAAGCCACTGAATCTCTTTTGCCGTGTTCAAACTCCAGCATCAAAATAGACAGACTTACACAAATAAAATGTACACAGTAGGACAAAATGGTGAAGTGGTGATTTTTTTTATATCCCAAAAGTCAAATGTTAACTTCAATGTGATATCATAATGCTTTGCTTTTCTGGCCATTATTCAATGCCATAACTCAGGAACAGAGTGAGAGATTGTGATCATATTTCACATATGGTTGGATCTTAAATTAGAATACGGCAACAGCCATATTTGAAGCATTGTCTACTGTCATGGCTACAACTTCGTGTTCTATTAGAGTCATCTTTATCTGCCAAGCATGTGAACACAGAAGGAATTTGACTCTGGTTTAGGTTTGTCTTCATAAGTTTATACAACACAAAGTCTTTAGTACATATATTCTTTCCCTCTGGACAGACATGGATGTAAACTGCAATTTGATGGAATGGTAGAGGCATACAATAGTGACATGGTTTGTATTCAAATTTTTGTGTTGAGATTCCTTGAGGTTAATATAAAGAACGTGTTGCTTTATTGTTACAATTTCTTTAGCAGAAAGTATTTTGAAAGAGCTCCAGTAAGGTCTGTGGATTGTCCATTGACACTTTCTCAGGGGGAAAAAAATCTGAATTTTATTCAAATTCAACTTTCAAATGATTTGAGTACAGCTTGCCAAATTCTGTTTTCTCAAATGTTTTCAGGGTGCAAGCAGAAAATATATATATATATATAAAACCAGCCTATTTGTATTCGTATAGAGAAGGCAATAGCCTGTTTTTGAGTCAAACTGAAACCTTAGCTTTGCACATTTATTTGTAACTGACGCTCTTTGAGAATATGCATCCCTGAGTGTGGTTTGCAGAAACCTTCTAGAATCTGTTGTTCCATACCCATTTTTCTTCAGTGCAAACACTGTCAAGTGAATGCAATGGTTTTCACAGCAACACCTCAGCTCCTACGTGATTGAAGGAGAAAGTCGTTGTTTAGTTTGATGAGTAGGAGACTGGAGAGGAGGGCACGAGGGAGAGCAATGTCCAGGAGTCTCAGTCTGGAGGAGGCTTTGTTCCTGTGGGCTCTGGTCCAGTTTTTCACACTGTGAGCGGGTACCTACGTGGAATACTAATGCCAGGCTTTGTCTCAATTCGTCATCTGGATCTCTGGGTTCTGGGCATTAGGGATGTTAAAACTTTATTCCAACAGTTTTACAATCAAGGACATCAGTGTCCCTGCACAAGAACTTGTCTTGACAAATGTGTATAAAGCCATGTTAGGCACAATGACTAACTTCAAGAAGTGATCCAGTTCGTATAACTATGCATTCACATTCGCACAGTGAACAGAGTTCCAAATGGTAACGTCAGAAAGAAGGGAATGTAAACAAGCAAGACAGTCTGACAGACTAGCAAACAGTTCATTCAAACTGTAAACTGACATTGAACTGGAATTGAAAGTAGGTATGCTATTATGACCCAAAATACCCATTGCAAACAGAAGCACCACAAATTGTTTTTTGTTTTTTTTTCCAATGAGGGAACTTCTTGCCCTGCCATTTAGCTTAGAGCTATTGTCCCAGGTGTTTGCTTTTGTCTTCAGTGTCCTCATTAAGCTTTGTAAGAGAAAAGTTCTGGAAAATGAAGTTTTGGCCACACAAAATCAACTTCCTCGTACTCACAAACAGAGGTTTGCGTAAGGCTATTGCCTGTGATTGGTCCAGCAGCTGTCCCTTGTGATTTTTTTCAGATGTGTCTCAGCTAGAGTAAGTACAACAAAATTTCACTTGTGCGTACATTGACAACTATTTTACCTCTGCCAAGTCTGACTGGAAGAAGTAGGCACAGCACAGTAGGCCCAAACAATACTACTGTGTTACTGCAAACATAATAATACTGCACTAAAAAGACAAAAATTAAATTTTCGTAAATATTTTTTACTTGAAATTACTCATAAAACAACACTGTCAACCCCATGGTCATTACAGTCGGTGTGAGTGAGGGTATACAATTATACAGCTATTGTAGGTCCTATGGTTGTATTGTTGGTTGTCTTTCACTGAGAAAAAACTAGCTGTCTCCATCAGTCACATGGGCCTCACCTTGCAGATCTTAGTGGTCCCTTTAAAAGTTTCCTATTGGTAATATCCCCTTCATATCCCCTTAAGTATATATATATATATGCTAGAACAATAATACAAATAACTATGCTTATTTTCATTAACCCTTTAAGCCCTGAGCTATTTTTCAGGCCTTTGCTCAAATATTACATGCCCATAATAAAAACAGTTTATCTCTGCAACCACAAGGTCTATTTGAATAATTATTTTGTCATAATAAAAGGAACACTTGTAAGATTTGTTCAGATGTGTAAATATTAGTATATATGTTACTGGTTCAAAGTAAATGTAGATGGCACACACACAAATTTAAAAAATTCAGGTTTGCCTAAAAAAATTTTTAAAAAAGCACTTTCAGGATAATTATCTCTTTGTAGTGATCCAGCTGCAGCTCTAAACCTCTCCCAAATCATAGCACACGATGTGATCATTCTCTCTGCAAAGATTGACTCTGATAAAGTGAAACAGAACAAAATTACAAAGTTTTTAGTTCAGACACATCAGGCGAGGTGACATTTTTGCATACTTCGGTACATTCTGGAACACTTGTGACCATCTGAATGTTCTTATGTACAAACTATATATTTCACTTGTATATCACTAATGGTGTTCAATACATCCAAATACTGCAGTTTTGTGTTTTTTTTTTTAACATTCAACCAGACCTTTATTGATCCCTATAAAAGGGATCAATAAAGTTCTGAAGTTCTATCTAGACCGCTGTCTGTGTTACGCGCCCTGTGCCTAATGCTGATCAAACTGCTGTGAAGTTCCTGTGGAGAGGCAAGGCTGTATCCTCCGTCATGGATTGGTCAATTTCGGTGATCGACACCGCCTTTGAATCTATAGAGCCAATAGAGTGTAGCGAGCGCCACCAACATGAAATTGACAGCACTTTTAACCAATCAGAATCATCACAACGCCAATCTTGTAGACCAGCCGCTTACAGAGTCAGTGCGCACTTTGGTAGCGCCCTTCTGCTAACGAAGCCTCCAAAAGACGCCCAGAATGATTTCCGTGTAACACAGGAAGTAGTACTAACTGATTCAGGTGTGGATTTACCGATAAAATAAACTTTTCATGGCAAAACAGCTAAGGTAAGAGAAATTTTACAACTACAGTTTGATGAAGCGGTTTCGGTTTTTGCTGTTCTTTGGGTTATTTCTCGCTGATGTGTTGATTTTAGAGAGCTTTGATGAATATGTTTGGAGTCTGTGGACTGTCTGCTTTCGTTTGAGGGGTTGTTTGGGTGTTTTGCATAAAGTACCAAAGCACTAGAGCCAGAAATGTGGCGAGTGGGTTGACGTGGTGGCGCTATAGCAATGTCCATATTTGATCATTCATTTCGTTGGTGTTTGAGTTGTGTCTGAGGCATGTAGAAATGGCTTATATATTTGTGTAGCCCAGGTTCTGCTGTTTAGTTTGATGTGCAGCATCACTAGATTCTTTCATGATGAGTGCATTGGTTTACACTATTTCTGGGCTTAAATCGTTAACTATTGTTTTGCATCCAACCTGTCAAGGAAGAGACTGCTTGTGTTTCTTGCCTCTTCTTCTAAGCAATGTTGCCATGTTCCCACACCTCAATACTGCAATGCTACGAAAAGAGAAAAGAGAAACTACGAAAAGATCTAATTTGAAACAAATTTCCTTGAACAACTTAAAGGTCTCATCAAAACAAGTCTATACAGTAAGTCTGTGGGTGTGATGATGTTTCTTGACTGAGGGGACCTGAGTTAGTCAGATTTTGGTATCCAACATTAAAATTGTTACCTACGCAGCAATATAATTACTTGCTTATTAATCTGTTAATGGGTAAATGCCTGTGAAAAGAATCTTTCAGTGTGAATGCAGAGGATGCATTTAATTTCAGAGCACATGCAAAAGCCTTTCAATCATCTGGTGCACAAAACCACCAGATGAAAGGCTTCTAAAAAGACAAACTTTACGGCTTACTATACACCGATTACATGAATAGTACAAATCTTTTATTGACTTTGAAGTAAAGCAATGAAACAGATGTTCCAATTAACTTTAGAGAGTCCTATAGAAGGCATAAATAAAGGCTATGTGGTAAAAATGTCCACCGCCCTGCTGTTGTTGATGAACTCTCTGTGCCAAATGCTTGACACTGCTTGCGTAAGTAGGGTTCTTTTAAAAAATGACTCAATTTGCATGACAAAGGCAGATGCCTTAGGGGTGGTAGGGTAGGAAGATGGAGGGGAGGGGAAAGGAGGGGAGGGAGGAGTGTGGGAGGTGTGGAAGGAGAAGGAGACAGGAGACAGGCTGGGACTCTTGGACAGATGCACTGGGATCACTGGCTCTCTCCCAGTCAGGAGATTAGAAACACTGCAGGATATGGTGGACGTTGACGCTGAAGTGCTGAATGAGGAGTTTGGCCTGGATGTATGTTTGATTGTTCCATATATTGCACTTGTTTTGAGGTTGCTCAAAGAGACTTTCTGCTGTTTGGAAGAAAGAAGGGATTCTACAAGTGACTAGAGAACAACACTGAACCGACAGAACACTCTGCAGAATTTTTGAAAAGCAGCTGTTGAAGAGTGACATCTTAAGATGCTTCTGGTTTGCGTTGCCTTGCATTACTCAAAGCTTTATTTGAGATATTACCGGCTTAAATATCCATAATCAGTATACATTGATTTGTTTTCAGTGGAAATTGTATTTTCCAGATCAGCTGGTCTGGTTTGTTTCAGTTAGAGACAACACTGGCCTAGAGATGACTGGAGTCCTGCTTACTGGATTCATACTCTTCTTTTTGGTGGTAATAACCTTCTCATACTACAAACTATAACAACAGCAGTGTGAACGCTTTCACATCTGGTTCATTTTAACTGTCTTAAGCTGTATTTCAAAATGATTCGTAATGCATGAAAATTGAAAACACTGACAACTGAGTTCTGAAAAAGTTGCATTATTGCTCATTTTTAAAATGGCAGAAAAAGCAAATTAAATTGGACTTTTTCTCTTGTAGGTGGCATGTGAGAGTGAGCCAACACATGCTGGACCAGAAAGAGAGGGAGACTCAAATGGTAAGACTGTTTGTCACTTAAAATGACCAGTAGTTTCAATTAATACTACTGGCTTCTCTATTTAAGCTTTTAAAAATCATGTAATTCTTATGTGATTTGCGTTTTTTTTTTCATTTCACTTATTATGTCCTGAATTCTGCGTCTGACTTCCCAGGACAATATCAACTGGTTCATTTGACATCACACTCAGCCTTCCAACTGGTCAATGACTCGCTGTCCTACTTCAGGGCCGACAGCTTCTGCAGAGGCCAGTTTAGCTTCCTTGTTACAATGGATCAGACAGGTGACCAGGAAGAAACCTTGGAGCTGCTTCGGCAGACTGGACTTCGCACACCAGTCTGGGTCAAGGATCCCAGGACAGCAGCTTCCAAGCCTGTAGCCTTCTCCAAGCAGTGTGAGTGCAATCACTAGATGTGTAAAGCCAAGTTTGTTTCCAAAACCAAAACTACTTCTTCTGCTCTTTTTTTTAAAATTAGATTTGCCATTCTCAGCGCTCAACTTCCCAAAGGAATCTCGGGAGGGTTTTGCTCATGTCAACATAGTCTTCCCTGCCCTGTCGTCTGTCAGTGTCTGTGTTCGCATTCAGTGGGACCCAGAGTGGAATGAGGTGTCCACCATCTTCTCCTATGCTGCACCTGTGTTTACTAATGAGTTCCAGCTACGTGGCCAAGTGGACATGCAGGGTCGCATCCTCCTGGCACTCATCATCCATGGGAAGCACCTGCCGTATAAGGCATCCTTCCCAAATGATGGAGTGTGGCATCACATCTGTGTGACATGGCACCGGAGCAGCAGCCACTGGGCTATATATGTGGATGGAGACAAGAAAGACACAGGCTCAGGGATCACTTCCAGGGATATCTATGGGGATGGGATTCTGATCCTGGGTCAGGACCAAGACTCCTTTGGTGGGAATTTCACAGAACCCTTTTTTGGAAATATCACTGACCTGAATGTTTGGAACATCTCTCTGGAAACAAGACATGTTCATGCCCTCAACGCATGTTCACCCATGACCCAGGAAATTCTTTTCAGTTGGAACCTTGACCTCCTACGTCGTCACCCGTTGGTCAAAGAGATGCAGGCCCTTCTGTTTTGTCCAGGTAAGATAACACTGTCTCATTCCAAATGTTCCAGCAAGTGCATCTGAGACACTTCCATTGGTTTAATTTATAGGACACAACTGACGTGTGCTTTGCAGACATTAATTAATGGCCTTGCAATGTCGTCCACAACCTGTGATTGACAAAAAGCACAGCTTCTTCCTAGATGTAGGGCAGTGGATACCAGTGGCATCTTTTGTACTAAAGTAAAGTACATAACTTGCAGTCATGACTAGGTTTGTAGTATGGTTTTTCATATTTAGCAATGCTGTCCTACTTCCTTACACACATTGTGGCTTATGTCTGTGCTACACTTTGTCTGTGCAGCTCGATCATTTGTAAAGAGGCTTAGGGTAAGGCCTGCACTTCCTGTGAAAGCTGTGTCATTTAGGAAGAGGGGCACAGGTCCAGTCTGCTAATCTTCTGTCCTTTTACAGCCTTTGTAGGACAAGCTCGGTGAAAATATCCTAAATATAGGAATATAATGTCAGATATACAAAATATTATGTCCTCAGTCAATAAAAAAAAGTCTATGGTCTAATGAAAGAAAGTCTGTTTATAGTTTAATCCAACTGGCAACCTCCAAGGCTGAAAAATTCAAAACGGAAGTACCTAAATCTTCAGTTCCTTAAATGACCACTTTAGGTCGGCTTCAAAAGCAATTTATTTTCCGCATACTAACACCTAGTGAGTGTTTTCAGCAATGTCAGTGAGAGACACTAACGGAAATACCAAAATCTGTGGTGGAGAGTAGACGGAGAGGATTACAGTAAGCATTACTTCACAAGATAATTTGAAACCAGACGTTTGTGAACAAAAAAGACAATAAAATCAAGGGAAAAGCTCACTGGTCCAAACAAAAGCATCAGGAACCTGACGTCTTGACAGTTCACAGAGGTCAAACAAATACAGGAACTACAATGTTCTTACACAACATGGTATGTTAATATTTTATTTTAACTCATAAACAGGCCACATGCACCAGCAGATGCAAATTTTAGCATCCTTTTAGGGTCAGGTTTTCACTTCAGTAAAGTTATCACTTCTTAAAAACTCTTGTGTGGTATGACATGGTTCAGGTTATGTGTCATTGTTTAGTCAGCTGGATCACAAATCACCACGGCCTCCAGTGGTGCAGGGCATGCAAACTAGGTTGCCATCAGTCAGCTACAGAAAGGTGACTGGAGAAATGAGAGACAGGATGAGGGTGATAATGCTAGCTGGTCATGGTCAGAGTCCAGTGATGCAGATTGGCAAATCATTTTCAGGCAGTGAAGAGAGACAGACTCTGTGACTTAGTTCAGGAGCAGCATCCTTGCTTTCTGTATCCGTGTGAGTAGACCAACTGCATTAAGTATATACTGCTGTGGTACTCACAGGTTACATTTGCACACCATTTGGCATTTTTCCTTGATCTGTAAATTGTCAGTCACAGGCCTCCTTGCCTAGTTCGGGTCGCAGTTGTAGGATTGAACAGTGGCTAAAGGTCAGTTGAACCAGTTAGCAAAAAGTAATGGATAAATCAACCACTAAGATCTGGGATAGCCTGAAAAAAGGTCACAAAGACATGTAAAACTGAACAGTCTGAGGCAGAGATGCTTCTAGAAACAGCAAAGAAGAATGAAGGGCAGTGAAACTGAGACAGGGTCAGGGAGGGCCAGATGAGTGGAGGGGATTCCCACAGCTCCAGGACAGACAACATGGGGGAGAACAGAGCTCCATGGAGCTGAACAGTCACTCCCCCACTGTCCAGTTTCTTTTTCTCTTTAAAAATCCTTGTAGCAACTTTTCTTACAATAGCAATGACAAGGTTTCAGGTGTTCTTTATATTAACATTTGCTGTGGTTTGATTTATATCAAATTTATGATTACTCAGTTTGCTGTTTACACTTAATGACATCTTGATTCTCCTGAAAACCTTCCTCTGAGTAAAATGCAATATTCAACTCATCCATAGCTTATCACCAGTCAAGACCTTTAGACATGCTTTTGCTGACACATGTCTTGTTGTGCACTGACTTTGTGATAATGACAGTATGACTGTGTGAACAGCAGACCACCAGCAGATGGAGCTGCAGGGCTGCAAGACACTGCAGGGCTGGACAGACCAGCTTCCATTGTTGGGCCAGAGAGACTGCTCTGATCAGCTACCATTCATCTGCAGGAGCAGCAGAGGTAAGCCTCACATACTGTGCACAACATCAAGTTTTTTTTTCCAGAGCAATACATAATAGTGCAGCTTGCATAAATATATGGATTAAAACCTGTAGAACTGTGGATGTCAAACATTTACTTTGAAAGGTAATTCTGCAAATGAAGTACAATAACATTTCTTACAATTAAAGTATGATTTGTATTGTCATGTGATTATAATTTGGTTTGTTTGTTTTGTTTTTTTGGTCACAAGTCCAAACTGACCAAATATCACATTTATCTACAAGGGTGTTTTATTACAATGTCATTGGACTAAGCAATAAGTAATGCATGTGAATAGTGACTCATGTAGTGACATTCAACACAGTATAGAATTCAATACTTTAATAATGTTTTACACTTGGATCACACAGTAAGGAATTAATTGAAGTCTGGGGAAAATGTGTTTATAACAAGGTTATTAACACAATTTCCCCAAACTTCAATTTGTTTTCTTAGTATTTTACCCTGTTGGTGCACATCATTTACAAAAATACTTACTAACGCGACTTTTTTTCCCCTTTAAATTTTCCACATCTTCTTTCATAGCTCCCCATACATTTAAGCACCAGTAGAAATTCTGTAACACACTGTATTAAAACATATTCCTGAAAAGAATTGTTTAGTTGATAAAAATTATGTCAAGCCAGGACTTGCAAGACTTAGAGTCTCTGACTGAATGATAATGTTGAGGGTACAAACGTATGAATCATATGCCTGTTGTAAATTAATTATATATTACATGTGAGCTTATAGCAAGAATAAATCCTTTTTTCTTGGGAGTTCAGTGGTTTATTCTTGGATACTTCAGCAGGGTAAAGGTTGAATGATGAGTTGTCTGAGCTGCAAAGCATCCTACCGTTACTAATCATAGCCCACACTGATGTTGTTGTTGGCACAGAGCGCTACCTCAAGATGAAGCAGATGATGGAATCTCAGGGCTCTCTGCCCACTGCGTTTATGGGTCAACTGATGAAGCTTTCCAACAAGAGCCAGGTAGCCATACACTAGTGTACATCTTCATGTAGCATAGTCAGCCTCAGCACTGTACACTGTTGCCCATAAAGTTAAAATAAAATATTTATTTTAACCTCTTCTCATGGAACGATTGTGACAATGCGATTTAGTCTTGATAGATAAAGTGTATATCTTCTCAAAACTTTATTGATTTCACACTATACATACAAGACATATCACAGTAAAAATTAAACCACAATTAACTTTTGCAAACTGTGTATTCAGGCTTAAACTAAATTAGGGGTATTGACTAATCGGATTAAGGGTTTGGTTTAAATTTTTCAGCCATGGTCCCTTGGACATGAAACATATATTCTAGGGGATTTCATGCATAGGAATGTCCAATATTACTTTTTCAAATGTCACTCAGTCACTAATATTGACTATGACCACCCCTGACACACATCAATGCGTTAAGACATCGTAGCTTGTTGATGGTGTCAATGGGCAGGACGTCCCTCTCTTCAGTCAGATACCAAAGTCAGAATCTGTTTCACCTGGTAACTGGGACTCAGCATGTAATCATTGCACCTGGTCAAAAGTGATTACTGATGTGTATAAATACAAATAAAAGTAGGAATGTGTCTGAAAACAAACTCTATGGGCAACAGCGTAGAATGCAAATATAGGTCTGCCATTGGCTGCTCATTTCAGATGGCTTTTTCCTCATCTTTCATTGTGTGCATATTCATTTGTTTGTTTTTTGTTGGATTATCCATTTTAATGATGGCGTTTGTCTCTACTGCATGCAAATGTTTCACCAAAATAAATGTCCCATCACTATTGTGAGGAAACAAGCTGCATCCTTTGGTTAAAATAGATGAAAACAAGCCAGAGTGTTTTTCCTCTAGAGCAGAATAATAATGATGTGCAGTGAGAACAATATGTACTACAGAATGGGCTGCCTCAACGAAACTACATGTGGCACAACTTTACCTCCTTTAAAAGATTTCGGTACACTTCTGCTGTCAAATAACTGCACCAAATATAGAGTTAAGACTTAAATTCCTTAACTTTATGAAGAAAGAGTTTTTCGTTTTTAATCTGGTTACATTATTTTGCACTGATAAAGAATTTATTTGTAAGTCTGGCATGTATTTTCATAAGAGTTTTATATAGGTCGCTATAGGCTAACACTGATGCCTGTATTTCAGGTAAATGTTTACTGCTGATGTTACTGGCCCCTTTTCATGCCAAATCATTTGAAACAAAGTATATCAAACCTGATTACCTGATTCACCCAAACAATAAAAAGACTTGTGTATACTTGTCTTTCATGCTGACTATGATTTACTTTTCATCCATTTATATTGCTTATCCAAGCATATCATAAAGTTCTGTTAACAGGAAGCCTTTTACAAGTACCTGAATCTTCTAAAATTGGGGGTTATTGAAGGGTTTTTCTTGCCTATTTAGAACTTGTTGGAGTGGCTGCCAGCAGATATAGATGGTATTTCACAAAAGTAGTGAAGAGACAATGATCCAAGTCCACAAGGGTGCATGTGGATCCGTAAGTGGACTGCACCAGAAAAACAAATGGGCTTTACAACAAATGTGTGAAAAGGACATTCTCAGTTATTCGCACCTTTATAACTCATCTTTAAAAGAGTTGTAATTGAAGTAGTCGACTCCTGTACTTTGGAGGTGCTTGTATGATTTGTACGTGTTTCCATCAGTTGCAGTTCTCGAGAAGTCCTGTACTTATCTGCCCACTATGCTTGACACACCCCAGGGGTAATCACTGTCACAGTGCTACAGCTCAATCTGTGAGCAGCTTCTATATCCTGTAAGAAGTACACAGCCTTTCAGAAACAGCTGTGGGAGCCCTGTCTGTGTTTCTAGCTTTGATATGAGGGTCAATGCAATCGTCTCCGATGTGTTCCTATTAATAGAACTGCATGCACATCCACTGTCTGCTACCACAGTGGTCATACAAGTGTACACTCTCTCATCTTAAGACTATAAACATGATATGATGTATTACATTGCTGAAAAACTCCCTAGAATAAAATCTGATGTGCCGTTTTTATGATTTTGACATTCCTATGTCGCTTTGTCTTTGTGTGCTAAACACAAAGCAAGTCAAATCCTTGGGATAGTAAAAAGAAAAAAATTGCACTTTAAACTATATGAAAATGTAAAACAATTAACTGAAAGTATGAACATTCTAATCTCGCTTTGGCTAAAGAAAATGTACATCTTGTAAAACCAGAGGATATCTTTGCTTTTTTTTATTTGCAACTTACTGGCAAGTAAAGCTTTTGGAACAAGCAGAGTCTTATTTGTGTTTGGTAACAGCTAATTTATGTTTGATGGGGTGTAAACAGGAAAATAACAACAACAATTATAAAGAAGAAACATGTAATCAATTAAATAATATGCTGTTGAGCACTGTCAAATTATTAATAAAATACTAACATAATTTTAATTTTTGTCATAAAACTTTAAAAATATATATATTTTGGAGTTGATGTTTGATGATGAAATGAAAGCGGTTCTGTTGAACAGTCTCTGTCTGCTCTCCCAGCCTGTGCTGGGGCAGCAGTCGTCAGGCCTGAGCAACCTGACCCAGGCGTCAGTCCTGCTGGAGTTCTCTGCACAGGCCCTGGAGGACACCCACCAGGAGGGATTGCAGCCAGCAGACATGGTTTCCCTCATCCAGCTGCTGTCTCTGGCTGCTGACGTCCCATTACAGCCGGTGGACCATGTCAGCAACCGGAGCCAGGACAGCATGCAGGAGCTGAGCCAGCATTTCATCAGCGTGGCCGACAGCATCATCAGTGAAGACAATGCCCACAAGTGGCAGGCCATCAAAGAGGTGGGGTGTACGAAGTAGCACTGCTTATCTTCAGTGTATAGTGTTTCCAAATCTATCCAGTTTGTGTTTCTACATTGGACGCAATATTGACTCTGCAGGCAAATAACAGAATACAGTTTTCAGTCTTGACCTGGTCATTGCATGCAATGGTCTCCAGCTAATGTTCAGTTTGCAGAAGCCTGTTAGAGCCATTAAAAACTCACATTTAGTTATATGTGTTGGAATTTCTTTAATCGATGCAATCAGTTCAACAACAGCACAAACTGTATCCTCTAAAGTTATCTTAAACTTGAATCAATACCTCTCGAAGACAATTAAACAAAACCTGACAAATTCAGGCATGTTGTTTGAGACTGTATCTGTTTTAGCCAGATGTACCTAGCTAACTGTCAAATGAGTGTACGTTCAGAGGCAAAACACTGTGATTTGACAGAAGGCTTTTGTTGAATGGCTAATTCCGCACTTTAATGTTAGACTGGTATGAAGTCAAAGAGCTTTCAAGTGGCAGATTTTTTAAAAAATAGAATACTAAAAATTGAGGCGTACTGAGGGATCCTGACTTTTAGACTGAAGTCTACCGTGTGTCAAGCCCTTGCATTACTGGATCCTGTATCCATAGTGCAGCTTCATGTCCCTCTTCTGGCATTCAGTAAACTCCTAAAAACTCATCTCCGTGTTTTAAAATGACATATTTAAAAATGTTTTTCATGGAAAGAATCCCCTTTTGCTTTAAAAGCGTTTCTGAGAAACAGAACCACAGAATTATACAACTGCTTTCACAAGCTTAATAGTACTTTCTGTGACTAGTAAACTGGCCTTGAGATGAAAAATTGGTTAAGTGTCTCTTTAACGGTCCATATGCATCAGCATAAAAGTAATACAGCCACAACCATTAGCCCATTAAGTTGTAAAATACATTGACTTGCTGTAAGGAGTTGTTGTCAACTCGAGTAATGTTATCTTCACTTGACCTGTCTCTCCTCCATTCATATGTGCTCTGTCTGTGTCTGTTTCCATGGGTCATGGAGCAGAGCAGGACGGAAATAGTGGAGACAGACAAGGAGAGGAGAGCAGCAAAACTCTCACACTGAGCTGAAATTAAACGAGTGCACCTTAACATAAATAAAATACTTAGATTTTAAATTCTTTGATTTTTGGAGCACCATGGAAACACTCCAGACTGCACTCTCTCTTTACAGGGCAATGTGGGAGGTTATTCCCAGTGCGTTATATATAAATATGAACAGGACCAACAATTTCAAAGGGAGAAATTCACATGCACACACAACAAAAACACAGAAGAGAGAAGCTGGGATTCTGCACACACACACACACACACACACACACACACACACGCACACAAAGGGAGTGTGACTTTATTCTCTCTTTACAATGCAGTTACTCAACATATTGTTGTACGTAAAGTTGTTTGGTCCTGTAATGAGGTAGTATTTATGTTCAAAATCCTGCATATTGCACCTTGTACAAACCCATTTCTTCCAGGGGCAAAAACACGAACCATAGCAAATAAAAATGCCATTTTTGCCACTTTTCGGATTTCAAGCGGAGACTAACAATGGTCTAACAGGGAGTGAAATAGCAGGAAAACATAAGCGTAAAGCAACATTACATTGGCCAAAAGACAACAGCTCCAGAGGTCTGACGTGCTAACATTCCTTCTCTTTTGCACAAGGGACAGACCAGACAACTGGGTAGAAAACAGGAAGATAAACACAGGAGTAGAAGAAGTAATATTGCTGCGAGGTGACATTTACTCAGTGCTGTGACTCCTTCTGCATTTATGTTTGCTGTGATCGTGGACTCTCGCTGATGGTGGCTCCTCTCTTTACTGCCACTACATTTGTGAGAACGCTGCTCTCCGTCTCTCTCTCGATCCTTCTCTCTGCTGTGGCTTCGATCTCTTTTCCTGTTCTTCTCCTCTCCCCCAGTTTTGTGCCTCCTGTCTCTACCTAAATTCCAGCTTGACCGTTTGGCCTTCCTCTCTTTCCTGTGCCTTTCCCTGTCCTCTTTATGCCTCGGGTCATCAGTCTCTCCCCTGTTCTTCTTATCCCTGGACCTCTCCCTCTCAGTGCCACTGTCTTTATGGGGATCCCTGTCCTTCCTCCTGCTCCTGTTGTCGCCCCCCCCTTCTCTTTCTTTCTCCCTGCGTTCATTCCTTCCACTCATGTTCAAGTCATGAAAAATTGCACCGGGGTGATTATGTCTTTTTCTAATTAATGCAGGTGCTTTAGTACAATGCTCACATCGGCTCTCTGAATATTTTGACAAGGATGTGAGATCAAATGTGGATCAGAAGTAAACAGAGCTCTCTATCACTGTCATCCAAACACCATAATGCCGAACACTGGTGGAAATTGAAGTATTTGAGCATATGATGCACTGATTCAATACACCAGCCATGATGTGGCCAATACACAATTAATTTACTTTCTCTGTCAGTGTGTTAGGGCTGCACCGCTACATTAACAATAATGATCACAGTTATTATGATTATGTTGAGATTGTAATTATTTACCACAATTATTTATCCATTTTAGGAAGAAATTTTCTTTGTAACTAAATGAGCAGAGCGTTGCTTTTCCTACCATTTAAAGTTATGTTTCTGCTAATGTACAAATCTGCATCAAAATAAGACAAAAAAAGGGTTCTTCTTCATCAGTATTCCGTGCATCTCACAGAAGAAAATATATAAATAAAATTGTACCCAAAACTGCTTACTTGCTAAACATTTACTTATCACTAGACAATCCAGTTTACCAGTGTTCCCTCTCCTCTCATGCAGGCTGACACTAGTATGGCAGATGTACACGCAGATGCAGATTGTTTCCCGACTCAGTTTCTGCAGATGTAGACTGCCTATCGTAGGCTTCCGACCCAGTTTTTAGTTACCTCAGATAAAGATAATAACATTAAGTTCATTGCAATATGGTTTATAGATTTAAAATTTTGTAAGGAAAAAAAAAAGCACAAGCAAATGGCCAGTACTATAGATAGGAGGTATGGCAGGGATGTCCATGCAACCTTGTTTTGAAAAATGATGGGAATTGTTCTATCAGAGCTTAAGAAATATAGACAATAGGCATTGGTGATGGACCTGCATTTAGGTAGATCAGTAGATAAATATTATTTCATTTATAAACCACTAGAGGACAGTATGCCTCTATGGATACAGTGCTCATCACCAGCACTGGAATCACAGGAGTCCAACTGATAAATGCAATATCTGCCTCCAAGACATAGCTTAATCATCTGGGTTTTCTACCAATTTCTGGCAGAAAACATCAAACTCTGTTCACAGCTGGTACAATGCGTTTCTCCAAACCCTTACTACCAATTTTTTATTTATTTTTTCACTTCTTCCTCTGCACTATTGATGTTTGGAGTGTATGGATCCGTATGGAGGTTACCTTATGACAAGTGCTGTGTTTCTCTCAGCACTTTGCCTCCCTTCCCCCCCAGGCCTCTCAGTGCTCCAAGGCCACCTCAACCCAGACTCAATGGATGAGAATCACTCTGAAAAACTGTGGCTGTACTCATCCACAAACCTCCCTCGCTCTGCTCCCGGCTCTGTCTCCAAGGCTCAGCTCTTAGATGGGCATATTGAAATCAGAATGCGGGGTTTCAGAACAGACAATGGCAAAATCTATGATTGTACCCTGCATTATAGGCCTATCTATTGAGCTGTGTGCACCCTCTAATGCTAAACTCTGCAGTCTGTGGCAAACAGTTAACAGTGCTGAAAGCATTTTCTTATTGTGTGGCAATGAATGGTCATTTTGAAGTGTGCCTCTTGAGCTTTGACGACTGTGCTGAGCAGAGCAGAGCGGGTGAGTGTTGCTGCTGCTGACACGCCGGTGCTCTGTGTGTTTTAGGTGGTGAACGGACCCATGGATGTGGTCAAGAGTATTGACCGAATGGTGACAAACCTGAGTCCTCGCTTGATGGCAGAGAACGATCACCTCACCATTCACAGCCCCAACATCAGTGAGTCACAAACGCACAGGCATATTAAAATATAGCAAATGTGAAAATACAGCAAAGGAATTTTGATACAAAGGGATGACAAATTTGAGCCAGGATCTGGGTCCATCATCAAGGGGCTTTAGAAACTACAGAGAAATGCAATTATGTAACAGCTGGCCTTCAAAAAAATCCATTCACCAATGGAAACAGAGACTCAGTAATAGAACAGCAAAAAAGATTTTTTTTTTTTTTTTACTGCTAATCAAATCCATGTTTTACAAAATGATGCTGTATGATCACCTGCAGGTTTAATGTTGCCTTTAATTTGTAAGTTATAGACCTATACATTTTTGCTTCTGTTCATTGTCATTACCAGACACTATGTTTACTAACTGGTAATTGGACATTTTCCTAACATCGATTTTTAAATGGTAGACAAATGCAGCTGTAGACATTAATAATAATATTACATCATACTTATATTGCGCTTTTTAAGATACTCGGAGATGCTTTACAAAAAAGGTAACAGCATTAACTAGCTATAATGATCTCTGGTTGGGTAATGTTCACCTTTAAATTTATATTTGGTACATGTAACCGACGGTATATTTTTATGGCACTTTACTATCTCTGTAATAACAAAAATGTAATTTCAGTTATAAAAAATATGTCCAAAATGTTGTGTGAAATAACATTATCAGTACCAGTACCAGTGGTGACAACAACACTGACACGGGTGGTAATAAATGAGGAGAGTCGCCCCAAGACTATCCATCCATCCATTATCGAAACACCACTTAATCCTCACTAGGGTCATGGGGGATGGAGTCTATCCCAGCTGACTCAGGGTGAAGGCAGGGGACACCCTGGACAGGTCACCAGTCTATCACAAGGCTACACTTAGAGACAGACAACCAAGCACACTCACATTCACACCTACGGACAATTTAGAATCACCAATTAACTCAACATGTTTTTAGACTGTGTGGGAGGAAGCTGGAGAACCCAGAGAGAACCCACACTGCACAGAGAGAACATGCAAACTCCATGCAGGAAGATCCCAGGCATCCTAACCAGGATGCGAACCAGGGATCTTCTTGCTGCGAGGCAACAGTGCTAACCATCAAGCCACCTTACAGCCCCCCAAGAATCTACAATTCAACAATTCTGCAGTTTTATTTGGCAGATGTTTTTATCCCAAGCAACGTACATCTGAGCGTAAAACCAACACAAGCAAGGATCTAGTCACTAGACGGTAGTGGAGGTGATGCAAAGATAACAGACGGCTGATGGAGATTAGCTAAGATAGCCTGGTCAGTGGTGGATGAGGTGGAGATGGGATGCTAGATCAATAATCTGAATGGGACAGAGACAGAATTACCATGAATTTAAAGAATGGGGTCTCATGGCCAATTGCCTTGGAGAACATGGACAGATAGAATGTTAGAATAGTGACATTCAGATTGTGAAAAGAGTGATTGGACAACATGGGAAAATGCAAGTGACAAAGAGAATAGAGCAGCAGGAGTAGCCCAAATTCACATAGATGAATATAGATGGAATGTGAGTGAACAGAGCTTCCTTTTGAACTGATGTATAAGCTTCATAAAAACAAACTTAAAAGCCTTAGGAGCCGTGGATCTTTAGCAGTGACACAGCTCATTATGGAATAATTTAATGGAAGAGTTCGGTCTCCATGATTGACTGCATTGTGTTAAAGTTCAAATTTGTGCAAAGGTGTTCATGATACTAACTTTGGATTGACTCTGTTCTGATGGTAAAAGCCAACCACAATCCTTCAACACATCTGTACATTGTGTCTTTCTCTCTAATATATACTCTGCTCTCTCATCCAGATGTCTTCTCAGATACCAAAGTTTGGCACTGATTGAGGTAATTTGAATTGGTACTAAGTTGTACTGACATAATTCCGTTAGTACACTTAAAATGGCATTATCCAACCCACCATAATCTCGACTGAGATCTCCAGACACTCGTTTCTAAAGAACAGCATTTAGGACTTGACCATGGATTTGATTATGACCGCCAAAGGGCAAATTATTTTAATTGAAAACCTTCTATAAGTATTCATAGAAAGGTTCAATGGAGTGTCTCTCAAGGTACACTGGGCATGCTGAAGCCATGGAAACTTTAGGGGAAATGCTTGTTTAATCAAAGTTTGGTGAAGAGATCACTGTCAAGGCTTGTCTGGGTGTTAAAGTAAAGCTAATGTTGGTTTTATTTCTGCTGTCTGGCCACTAGTTCTGTTAGTGATGATAGCTCTGTAACTTAACCAAAGTAATGCCTGAAATCTCTGAAAAAACATAAATATGTCTAATGGGACAAAAACGCGAGCAGTCAGAGGATCAAATGGGTTTGGTAACAAACTTCACGCACACTTGTTTGGCGGAAAAAATAAAGGCAAACCCTAAAATGAGACTGATGTCAATGATGTTAAACATTTCAAAACTGCTACTTGGAACAGCTAGATTTTCCAAACTGTCAACCTGTTTCTTTAACCTCAGAACACTCAGCTGTGAACATTCTGCCACTGGATTTTAAATGGCTTTGGCCCCGATTATACATGGTTTGAAAGCATAAGACCTCACAAGATAGATGGTGTAAAACATTTTAAGATACAAATACTACAACAGCAAAACCAGCAAGAGCAATAATTCCTTACTATGTTGTAAGAATGCATGCACAGCAAAACAGCAGTTTCTTTCTCTATTCTATTCTAGACACTCTAGCTATATCTTTGTGGCTAAACAAAGGTAGCCTATGTGTTACAAGCATCATTAAGAAGACACCATGCCACCATGCATGCCTCAGAACTAATTAACCCTAATCTACACACAGAGTTAGTGTTTATTGCAATAACATGAAATTGAAGCCCGTGCTGCTTCAGTATCATTCAAAGTCACTAGGTGTTTGTTTCAAAAAACCTCTGGCTAGGTTTCTGTTCAAAAAGTGTCAACGTTTTACGAGTCATTATGATGTTATTAGCTAAATTCACTCTTTCAGGGCAGTGTGCTAGTTGTCATTTTGAAAATAATTCAGTAATTAGGTAGATGTTAGGCATCGGAGATACCTATGCATTGGTGTTCCTCCCTTAATTGATATGCCTGTCTGGAGTGATTGACAATCTGTTTACAATTTGAATCCCATGTGCCCTGCTTTTGTTGATATTTGATATAATTATTATTTTGTCATCATTTGTCAGTAGAGTGAGCAATACATTTTCCAAAGCTTTTCTTTCTTTGCTTATTCTGAAAGAATTCTCTTCTATCAGTAAGTAATGTTTATCTTCACAATGGTTTCACATTTTAATCCAGTTTACTTAAACTTTAAGTATAATTTGTACAATGCACATGTGATGATGGTGACACTGTATGGGACAGCTTTGTGCTCCAACCAGGAGTCATGTTTAAAAGGTCCTGGCTCTTATAGAAAAAGATGGTGTTGACCATAAAGCTATTCTCTGGGTTTCAGTTCAGGTCATTGCGTTTCACATCCATTTTTATATGCAGTCTGTAGTTTATTAGGTCCAAAGTAATGCAGTCAAGACCTTATAGTAAATAAATAACATTTATTTTAAAAATAAATGTCTTTATTTAGTCTCCAGTGTTGAATGTGACTTGTCACTTTGTTAAATTGAAATACTTAAACTTCACAATAATTTTTTAACCCATAGTTTGTATTAGCCTGGACTTAAATGGGATTTTATTGAAAAGTGTTGTTATGGTTGTGAAATCCATCATTCACTCTGAAACCACCCCTCAAGATTTGTTCACAAAACTTTTAAAGTCTCACTTTCACCTAGAAGTTTACTTT